TAGTGTAATTTACATGAAAGAAACCAAACTTGAAGGATTTTATGAAAGATTACTCTCTGAATTTGAAAAGACAGGAGGATTCAGAAAAGGCAAAGGACCTGAAGAACTAGGCGAATATCAGGAAGCATCAGGAGTAGGAGAAATATTAGGCTCACAAAAAGCGCTGAAGAACCTAATTGACATACCACTACCACTAGAAAATATATCACAGGACTGATATGAAGGATTAAATATTGCCAAAAGAAGCGAACATACATACACCTCAAAGAAGACCAGCGTAATTGATGAAGTGGAAAATGAGAAAGAGAAGGTAGACATGAAGGGACTCAGAAACAATTTTTCAAAGAATTTACTAAAAGTATGAAAGGTACAAGGGAAACTGATCCTCAAATTAGGGAAATCAGACTTGTGGACTTTCCAACATTTAAAGGAGAATTACAAGATCCAGTTGCATAGTTGGAAGCGTTCGAAGGAGCATGCACAGCAAATAGTGTGAAAGAGAATCAGATGCTAAAGATAGTAAATTCTTATCTCAAAGAAGAAGCTCATATTTGGCTCAATTTACAGAATGTGAAGTATTGAAATCGATTGGATAAAGGAAACAAATCCTTTGTGAACCTCTTCATGAATGAATATTGTAGCATATACTAAAGGACTCAGTGAGATCAAGAGTTAAGAAATCTAAAACAACAAAAGAATGAAATGCACAATATACAGCAAAGTTAAGGGAGTTATGGAGAAGGGTGGATCCTCTGAAACGAAAAGCTGAGGCAGACAAAATCATGAATTTTGTAAGAGAACTGCTACCAGAATATATTGAGACTGTACAAGAAAGCATGCCTATAACAATCAGACAAGCTATCGAAAAGGCTAAAGCAATGGAAATAACCAAAAGTATAAGAATGAAAGTAACTGGAAAGAAAATCGAACCTAGTTACCATCCAGAGAAGAAGAAGGAAAGAGGATTTCCAAATAGAGAAGAAACAATTGAAGAAACAATCAAAAAGATTCTTCAACAAGAAAAAGGAATCCCAAATATCATACCAAATGGACCATATCCAAAATGTGAAAAGAGTGATCGTTGAGCAAGAGATTGTCCTGCAAAACGGTGCTACAATTGTCAGGAGATTGGTCATCTTGCAAAAAACCTGAAAAGACTGTGAAATGCTATAACTGCGGAGAAGAAGGGCATATTTCCACAAAGTGTTCAAAGCCTAAGAGATTTCCAGAGAACAGAGGAAAAGGACTTGAGATAAATAGATCCTATAGGACGAATATAAGCTGGGAAGAATCCAACAATTAGGAACCATCAAGAATATATACATATTCAGAAAAACCAAAGAAGAATAAAGAAAAGTTAGCGAATATGTTAAAGGATTACCTCAAATTGCTCAATGAGGATTTAAAAGATCAACTGCACCTTTAGGAGGTGAGAGTGCAGAACAATCAAAACCTCCAAAATATATTCTTAATGTACTGTATCACTGTCGGAACAGAATTTGGGTATCAAAAAGAAGCGAGAATGCTAAGGTAATGGATGGACTCTGGCAAACCGTATGTGGAAAAGTAGAACTATTTGAAGGATCAGCTGAAGTATGCTTAAGGAAAATCTCTGAAGAAGCGGGAATAGATCTTCCATTGAAAAGAATTAGGAAAATATTCAATGATCCTGTATATAAATGTGACATATACATTACCAAATTAAAGAAAGAAGAAATACCGATATGGATGGAAGAAAATAAAGCTAGTCCATAGAGGTCTATAGACCAAGAAAGATACCTGAATCTGATAGAAAATGGACAGATAACTCCAACATACGTGAGATTTGTACACAAAATCTTGATCTGATTGGAGAATTTGTCCAAGAATTATTCCATAGAATAATCTATAAGAAGAAGAAGAACCTAGTGCAACAACACAACAACAATCACCCAAGGACGTACTGTTCATGGAAGCAAAAGTGACTGGAAGAAAAACAAATATAATGATCAACACAGGCGTAGTAAGGAAGCTGTATCAAAAAGCTTCTTAGACGAAATTGGACTGGAGATTGATGGACCACCAGATAGAACCCTAATTGAAATAAGTGGAAAAATTACAACACCATTAGGAGTCATCCATCAACTTCCAATCAAAATAAATACAACAATTTGAAAAATTAAAGCTGCGGTTATGGACTCTGAAGCCTACTCGGTGATTTTAGGAAATGAATGGATTATGCAAGTAAATGCAAAAATAGATTTCTACCAAAAGAAGCTATTTTATCAAGTAGGAGAATCTATCAACAGACAACCTATTTATGAGAATGTGCACATAATGTGCTGGCAAAGGATCAGATTTGAGAAAAAAACAAAACCAAAAGAAGAATCTGATAAAGAATCTGATTTTGGATTAAAACTGGAAGATCCAGAATTATCTGAGAAAATGCTAGCAGTATATCAGAAAGGTGAACTTATTGAGACACTTCTAGAAGATATAACTGTTACAACAGAAAGAAAAGAAGAAAGATTCACAAAAATCCAAATTAAAGAAGGTGATCAAACGCTTTCTATAGATGAAGGAAGAAAGACAGTGATTGGAGAAGTTGAAGGTGAATAAAAGGAGCAATTACTGCAAACACTACAATCATATGAAGATGTAGTAGCTAAAGAAGAAGAAATTGGCAGAACAAACGCATTCAAACACAAAATTTACACAGAAGAAGGACTGCTGATAAGCTAAAGGGCTTATCGCATGTCACCAGCAGAAAATGAGATAATTAAGAAAGAGATTAATAATGGATTAGAAAGAGGATTCATTAGACCATCTAATAGCTCGTGGGCTTCACCAGTGGTTCTTGTTAAAAAGAAAAATGGCAAAACAAGATTCTGCATGGATTACAGGAAACTGAATGACGTGACGAAAAAGGATAAGTATTCTCTACCACTTATTCATGAGATTATTGATAGTCTCTAAGGAGCAAAGTAGTTCACATCAATAGATCTCGCATCAGGATATTGGCAGGTGGAAGTTGCAGAAGAGGATAAGAAGAAAATAGCATTCATTACCAAATATGGATTATACGAATATAATGTTATGCCGTTTGGATTATGCAATACCCCAGCTACATTCCAAAGACTCATGAACAACATGTTAGGAGATATACTATGGAAGTTTACCCTAGACTACATTGATGATATCACCATTTACTCAAAAACATGGGATGAACATGTGAAACATATAAAGGAAGTAATGTCGAAACTTAGAAATGCAGGACTAAAAATCAACCCTGACAAATGTCACTTTGCATCAAGAGAAGTCTAGTTTCTTGAACATATCGTGGGAATTGATAAAATTAAACCAGATTCAGAAAAGGTGATCAAGATTAAAGATTATCCAGAACCAAGGAATCAGAAAGAACTCAGAAGGTTCATTGGAATGACAGCATACTATAGAAAATTTATTAAAGAATTTTCAAGAACTGCAAAGCCATTATTCAAGCTATTGGAAATTGAAGGTCAATACCAATAGGAGAAACAGCAGCAAAATTCCTTTGAAATATTAAAGGAATATTTAATAAAAGAACCAGTGCTATCATACTCAGACCTGGATAAAGAATTTATCTTAACAACTGATGCATCAAAAGTAGCAGTAGGAGCAGTATTATCACAGAAAGATGAACAAGTGAAAGAACATCCTATTGCTTATAATAGTAGAACTCTGCACAAACATGAACAAAACTATAACACCATGAATTTGGAAGCCCTCACTGTAATCTGGGCCTTAGGAAAGTTCAGACACTATTTACACGGAAGGAAATTCAAGATTTATACTGATCATAATGCACTCGTATAGTTACTAAATAATAATCAAAGCACAAATGGATGACATTTCAGATGGAGAATGATCCTACAAAATTACAACTATGAGATCATTCATAAGAAAGGAAAATATAACTCAGTACTTGACACACTATCCAGAATCCCAATACAAACATCTTCAACAACCAATCATCATAAGAAATGAATAAAAGTGAGTACAATGATATATTCAAATACTTAACAACCCTCACATACCCAGAAAAGGCAAATGAACAATGGAAATCTTAAATTAGAAAACAATCCAACAAGTATTTTACGACTGGACAACATCTATTTAGACGACGCAAAAATGGACAACCCCAACGAGTTATATTACCAGAACAAATTGAATTGATATTATTCAATCTGCATAAGGATCTCATTAGAGTGTATCTCAGAATGAAAACAACATATGAAAAGTTGAAAGAAAGGTACTATTGGCCACAGATGTATGAAAGTGTTAGGAAATACATTCAATACTATGACACGTGCCAAAGAAGAGGAAAGCCCAAAAAGACAGAAGAACCTCACCTAATACTGGTGAAGGGATCTTTTAACTGAATTGATATAGATATAAAAGGACCTCTACCAGTAATAACAAATGGAAATAGATATCTTATAGTAGCTATGGATTATCTTACTAAGTGGCCTGAAGCGAAACCTTGAAGCAAGCAAAAGCTACTGATATAGCAGAATTCATATTTAAAGAAATAATTTGTAGACATGGAGTACTAGAAATCATCTTAACAGATAGAGGCACTGAATTTAACAACCAATAGGTAAATGAGCTATGCAAGGATTGGCAAACCAAACATCAATTAATTTTACTGTATAGGCCTCAAACAAATGGAATGGTAGAAAGATTCAACAGAATTATAGGTGAATGTTTGGTAAAACTTACTGAAGAAAAGGAATAGGATCAATTTATTGAAGCTGTACAATTGGCCTACTGAACCAAGAAACATGAATCTACAGGATTCACACCTTTTCAGCTGCTATATGAAAGACAAGCAACCTTACTAATTGACCTAAAAGTAGTTACCTATAATGAGGAAGAAAAAGATGCATTGCTTAAGCGAACTCAGGAAATCATAGATAATAATGATGCTTATGAGATACAACAACGAATTAAGATACAACAAGCAAAGAAAAAACAGAAAAATGAATCTGAGAAATTCAAGAGTCCTGTTGCATCAAACGCATTTAGAAAATAACTTTTCAGCAAAATTAGAGGCGAAATGGATTGGACCGTACTTTATCCATGAAGTTTATGAGAAAAGTAATTATAAGTTACGAACTCTCGAAGGAAAGTTATTGAAGAATTCAGTATATGGAAATAGGCTTAAGATGTATTACGAGGAAACGCTTGAACTATGAGTCATCATTAAAGAGTTTCTTCCAGAGGAAGAAAATTAAAGAGGGGAGAATATAATCCAAATGATTTTTAAGAATTGAAAATGTGATGCAGAAAAGGAATCTACAAATGATCATCATGGTGTAACCCAAATGATCTTTAGAAAACTAGAAGTGTGACGCAGTAAAGTGATCTGCAAATGATCATCATGTGAATTG